TTGTAAAATGTTGAAACTTTCATCAAGTGAATTTACATAGAAAGAAAAAAACAATTCAGACCCTTTACTATTACTATTATTAATTTGCCAGAGTGCAAAGTGCTGGCCAGAGAGAATGTGTATAACCCCCCAGATCACCAGTACCAGAGCCTGCTGCGTCTCAGAGGTTAGGGCAGGCCTGGCTGCAGGTGACTAGGGAGGACTGGCCTGGAGGTGGCAGCACGGAGCACTCAGGTCTGAAGCCCAGGGCTGGCCAAGGGCCTGTTCTAAGGCAGGTGCGAAGCAAACTATTGGCAAAGTGAAATCAGGAGAGTGCCAGGATGAGGCCTGTCTGTAAAGGAGCATTTTGCCCTTGCCGTGTGGGTGGTGGGGATCAGGCTCCCTGGGCTGCAGCAAGGCAGGGCCCTGTCTGCTCAAGGGGAGGCCCCCGGCAGGCCCAGCTAGTCCTGCTTTTAATCTGCCCGGGTAGTGAGAAGGACTTAGGCTCACGAACAGCCCCAAGAAAGGAAAGCTGGAAGAGAAAAGAATCATTTTGCCTGATTCATTGGGCATGTGGGAAGTCAAGCGGGTCTGCAGGGGTAGAACCCCAGGCGATTTCCTGATTTAGGGGTTAGTGGCAGTTCCCTGGAAACGGTTCCTGCATTGGGCAAGATACACTGGAGGGGGGCCAGCAGATGGCTCATGGTTACCACCGCTGGACCCCCACGTGGTTGGCCCGGTTTGAATCCTGGACCCAGTGACTTGAAAGTCAGGGCAGGTGTGTGTGCGTTCAGGCCCAAAAATCCCAATAGAATAGAGGAGAGGGGACTGCAGTGTGGCCATACCCCCTGGGAGGTAAAGTCTCGCTTTCTGTCTCTCTGTCTCTGTGGCGAGCACACATGCAAAAATCCCCCCCCCCCAAAAAAAACAGCCACGGGGGAGGTTTGTGCGTGAGTCTGTGTGTGCGGGGAAGCCATAACGGCTGGAGAATCTGAGTGAAAGTGTAAAAAATGGTTTGTGCTGCCATCGCAGGTTATCTATAAATTTGAAGTTACTGGAAAATAAATGACTTTTTAAAACAGAGGTATCAAAGCGTTTGTCAGTAAAGCACAGACGCCAAACTTGGTCCAGAAGGCCGAGCCCGACCCCAGTCCAGCCCAGCCAGTCGCCCTTGTAGGCGGCAGAATGTCGCATTAGCATAAAGAAGCCACCGCGTGGACATTATGTTCTTGGCCACCACGTTGTGGGTGTTGAAAATGACTGCAAGTGCAGCAGAAACTGGAATTAATTCGTTTCCCTCCTGAAACCCTTTCGTTACCTGTACTTTGAAGATTGGTAACCTCTCAGCAGTGTGCTTAACGTTGACAGGGCCTCGAATTGTCCCGAAGCCCAACCGGTGCCTCCTTCAGGTGGACGCGGAGCAAAACCAGGCGGTTATCCTTGCAAGAGGCCAGGCACAAAAAAGTGGGGTGGTGCGCCCTCGTGTGGCCATAACAGGCAGTGCAGCACCTTCGGCGCTTCTTGTTTAGCGGTGGCCGCGCGCCCCCTCCTGGCTGTTGTGCTGAATCAATCCAATTCAACATTTGGATTTCACTGTCTCCGACAGACAGACTGCCTGAGACCCATGGAAAGGACTATGATAGGTACTCTGGGGAGCAGGTGTCTGATAACATTGCACAATAGCTTTAAGATCACACCACTGGTGTGACATATATATCTTAGCAGTCATATAACAGAATCAAATATTTGCAACTGGAGAAAAATATTTCAAGAAAGGAAGAATGTGACCAGAATCTGCAACCACGCTGATTCAATGTTTCATCTTTTAAAAGGATATTCAAGGGGCTGGCAGGTGGCATGGTGATTAAGGGCGCTGGACTCCCACATAGCCAACCGTGGTCCCAGACCTGGTGGCTTGCTTTCTCACCCTCCCCAACTCCCCGCCTCTCCCACACACTATCCCTCTCTGGTCAAATTAAAATGAATAAATAAATAAAGAAACAAAGTTAAATAATAATCATAATAATTCTTTAGAAAAAGGATATCCCAAACCATTTTCCTTGGTTACTCTTTGCAGAAAGCAAAGACATCAGAGAGGCGAAAATGGCAAGCATTCTATGAGTGACTTCAGATGCTACTGTGCTTTATGGGAAAAAAAAAATTACCTATGCGAGGATAACTTAGAATTTTTGGAAGCCCAAACTCCGAAATGTTTTCAAATTTATTAAGTTGAACTTGTAAGTACTGTAATTATAATGTGAATGAAGACAGTCATAAAACAAATGAGAAAAATGAATTTGTGTCTTTTTGTAATAAAATATGAAATGAATAATGAATGCCCCTAGGAAACATGTCAGATGTCAAATACAATTGAGAATATCAAAATCGCTATTGATTATATTGTAGAACAGAAGCAGCTCAACAGAAACAAGTGTATCATATCATTAGTCACATTGACTATACCATCACAATAGAAGAAAGCTTTATTGACTTTGCCAAAAAGAAAGAAAAATGCGTACAGTGTAGCTTAGGAAAATATTAATAAATAGGAAACTATGACACTGGTGTAAAAATGTCCCAGGCCAGAGATGTACCAATGGGCAACTATGGCAAGTGTAGAAAAGAGTCTGTCCTGGGGCCAGCGGGTGGTGTGGTGGTTAAAGGCACTGAATGCTCCCACATGGCTGACCATGGTTCAAATCCTGGACCTGGTGACTTGCATTCTCACCTTCTCTCTCTCTCTCTGTCTGTGTGTGTCTCTCTGGACAAATTAAAAATGAATGAATGAATAAATAAAGTTAAATAATTTAAAGAAAAAGAAAATTACGTTGGGCCCATGTGTGTGTGTGTGTGTGTGTGTGTGTGTGTGTCCCAAATCCCAGGAGAATGGAAGAGAAGGGACTGTGCTGTGGCCGTCCCTCTAGGGGTGATTTCTCACTTTCCCTCTCACTGTCTCTCTCTGGCCAATGCATGAACCCTCCGAAGCGAGAACCCTGCTGCAAAAAAAAAAAAAAAAAGAAAGAAAAAGAAAAAAGTCTGTTCTCACTCCAAAATGATTAAACTAAATCTGCACTTTGTTCAACTGACAATCTTAATATATCAGACTTTAGCTTCTGTTCAAATATGATACACTTTAAAAATATAATAAAATGTATATTCAGTTTTTATGTGAATTCAGCAAACATGGGATATTCTCATCTCTGTTCTAAAATACGACCTCCTAGACACAGAGGGTGCCTGACAGACGCGAAGGCGAAAGGCAGTCAGGGCACCTCACACAAAGCAACGTCTAAGACGGGTATATACAGATACGTTCTCAGAGGAAATGCACAACGCTGCAATCAAACACACTTCCCTACTCTGCAAGAATGACTTCGAACAAAGGGGAAACATTCCATATGATTTAGTCAGACTCTCCAACGAAAGATCCTAGGCTACAGAGCCGCCTGCTGATGCCAAGCCCCATCCACCTGCTTGCAATGAGCGAGAGAGTGTGAACCTTTAATGAGACATAGGAATATGTCTTCCAAATTTGATTTTTAAGAGGAAGAAAAAGATACTTGGAGCGGTATGAATGACCAAATGAAGCTTTCAGTCGTTCTGGTGGACGGTCATTACATGGGTTGTGAAGCCGGAAGAGAAGTGAACTGTAGAGATGGCCCAGGCTGTGGTTCCAGTCCCTGCCCAGGGGCTCTGTTTTAGCAGGGATGCAGACTATGGGTAAATGTCTATTGGTTCATGCTTGGTGTTGAGACAGAGACCTCGAAGTTCTTATGGGAACCCGGGGAGGCAGGTGTGGACTACCTGGGTAACTGAGATGCGACAGTGGCCTCTCAAAAAAAACTGGCTGAGTCAGGGGCCCATGCCGACCTGCAAGCAGAGGACACCGTCGGGCACCAAGCTCTTTCCTGATTTTAAATGTGGAATGCCCTTATTTTCACTCTCATATTACGTGATATATATCCAAAATCTGTAGTCTGTTTTATGTTTTTTAAATTTTTACTTATTTATTTATTTATTATTTATTTATTTTGCCACAGGGTGCGTGTGCTCTTCTGAGAGAGTGAGAGACAGAGAAAGTGAGAAATTCCCGCCCCCCCCCCCCCCCCCGTGGCCACCCCACAATCTCTCCTCCTCCATTCTCCCCTCCGGATTTGGGCACCCGCGTGGTTTTCAAGCTCCCGAGTCCGGGACTCCAACCGTAGGCAGCCATGTAGAAATCCAGCACTTACACCACTCCCCCGCCCGACGCAAGGATGGATTCGTGCCCATACACACAGTTCTAGCGTTCATTTTTCTCACTTTCTGGGGTCTAGAACCCACTACTCCGCTGCGGTGGGCAGAGGTAGGTAAAGGGGCAGGTCCAGAATGAGCAGGGGCAGCGCCGAGCGCTCCCCCGTTCCCTGCGGCACCACCTGACACCTCGGCAGTTGCTACTTGCCGCGGTGACAGGGTCGGGCAGTCACGCGGCCTGTGGGCAGTCAGAAGGGTAACGCTGCCCGCCGCGCTGAAGGCTGCCCGCGGAAACCCACGGATCACCGGATCGGGGCTCCCTGCAGCACCACACCCGCACCGCCCGCCTGCAGCCGCTCCCCACCCCGTCTCCTCCTCCGCCCCTCGCAGGCCCCAGCCCTGCACGCCGGATACCCCCCAGCCCGCAGGTCCCCGCGACTCCGCGCCCCCGCAGGTCTTTGCACCCCGATTGCCCACCGGGCAGCCTCCTGGGCAAAGTCCCCTGGACCTTTTCGGTAGGCCCGCCCCGCTAGGGGAGCGCGGGCAGGACCCAGGGAGGCCTCCGCCAGCTCAGGGCCGACGGGTGCCCGGGCGCCGGGAGGTGCCTGTTGCGGGGGCGGGGGCGGGGTGCCCTCTGGTGCGGGCCAGCCCTCCCGCCCTCTGGCATTGCATTGCTCAGTCGGGTCGGCCCAGCTGCCGGGCAGGGCATGAGCTCCGGAGCTGCCCCGAGGCTGCTGACGCTCCAGCGGCACCTGGGCTCCAGGGAGGTAAGGGACAGGGTAGGCCTGGCCCTCTGAGCTCCTGTCCCCTCTGTGCCTGTGGAGCTAGGCTCCAGGTGACCCATGAACCAGGGACTCTGATGGGAGAACTGGGTTCTGGAAGAACAGACTCGGCTGGCCACCCCCAGGCCACCACGTCGAGCAGCTGGAACTGAGGAGCCAGGTGCAGGGGGACTGGGGGTCCACAGAGGGGCGCGGAGAGCCAGTGGTTGGAGGAGGTGAGTGGGGTGGGGGTGACGCCAGGAGCGCTGTTTGTGATCCTGGGTCATCGCCCTGCCCACTCAGCGGTCCTCACCCTTGCACCCAGCCTGCCCTGCGCAGTTTGGCCAGACTTTGTCCGGAGGGTGTTTAACTCTCACGCAGCTGGTGTGAGCAGGCCCCGGAAGCTCACCCGACCCCTGTGTGGCCCAGGGCGGCAGCATGGAGCACGTGAGCAGCCCGCTGACCACACACGTCCTGGACACGGCCTCAGGGCTCCCGGCCAGGGGCCTCTGCCTCTGTTTGTCCCGCCTGGAGGACCAGGGCCAGCAGTGGACAGAGCTGAGGAAAAGGTAGGAGGCAGGCCCCGGGTTTGGGGAGCCTGGAGCACCTGCTCCCAAGCGCAGCGCCCTCCCAGCCTCACCTCTGACGGACCCTACAACCCCACGTAGCCAGGAGCAGACTTAAGGGCTGCAGGGCAGGGCTGAACACTGTCCAACTGCCCTCTCAGCCTCTGGGCACACTGCCTGTGCTCACTCCCTGGCCTCTTCCTGCACCTCAGTTTCCGGGTCTGAAAGTGAGCGAAGCTGTTTGTCCAGGAGTGTGCAGCCCTGGGACCATGCCAAGGACATGCTGGGCCCGGTTAGCACCTGTCCTTTCTTCTAGCCCCTACCCACTCCATTCCAGTGTGCCCGTGGGGCTGGGAATGGCCATTCTGTCTCTTCTTACTGTGGCCCGCAGCCCAAGAGGTCTGGGTGACCGAGGGCTGGAGGTGGAATCTAAGAGGTCTCACGTTGGCCGTGATTAGCAGGTAAGCTTGTGTCCGGCAGCACGCTGAGCTCGTTACTTCTTCTCTCTTTATTCTCTTACACCCTGTGGGTGGACACCGTAATTACCCCTTTTAGAGATGGGAAGACTGAGGCAGCAAGGGACGAGGTAAAACTGGGGTTCCAAGTCTGGCCTGTCGGGCACATGGGGTCCAGGCCCTGGGCTGCTGCCCCTTGCCCACTGTCCCAGATACAGGCTTTTCTGGGGAAGGCCCTTCTGACCAGGGATCTCATCCAGCCCAGGGCACCTGGCCTTGTGGCCCTTGGGTTGGCCCTGTGAGAGGGTTCCCCAGACCCTTCATTTGAAGGAGGTAGGTATTCCCTGGTGGTTTCCTCCCTTACAGCTTAGAAGTGGGACTGGGGGAGGCTGGACCCCAAAGGTTCAGGGTCTGACAATGTTGCTTGTTCTCTCCTGGTCAGTCCTTCACAAAAACTAGGGGTTGGGTTCAGGTCCCATCTGAGCAGTGGAGATGGTGCTGTGGTGGCCAGAAGTCCCATGGAAGATCACATACACAGACCTGCTCCACTCCCACACACACTGTGCACATGCTTCCCCCAGCACATGCCTATCTGTGTGCACGTGTGCATGCGTGCACACACACACTTTGAAGCACAGCTGATCGGAACAATGGGAAGTTTTCCTGGTGGTGACTGTGAGCACAGGCCCTCAGAACACTTTGCAAGGGCTCAGGCCACCACAGAGCTGGGGTTTGGGTGTAGTTATCGATCCAGAAAACCATTACATGCAAACAAAGGTCATAAAACAGTACAAATAGTATAACCATTTAAAAATATGTATTTTTGTTAAAGGGTGGGTGTGCTTGCAGGAGAGGGACGTGAGGGCAGGGAGACAGAAATCACCCCCTCCGGGGGATCGACATGCCACAAACCTTTCTCCATCTCTCTTTTTGGGATTGGGGGCATGCAAGCACACGTGCCTGGCATGATTTTCAAGCTGCCAGGTCCAGGACGCAACTAAGCAATTGGCCATCTGGGATCTAACTGCCTTAACCCCATGTCACAGGCTGGCCCAACCAATATATTTTTTAAAAGTTTGTAAGTAAACACACTTATGCATAGAGGGAATCTGGACAAATACATGGGTACTATGGGAGATTTATTCTCCCTTTGCTTTTCTGTATTGTGGTGTCCTTGGGTTGCTCTAGAACTGCAGTCCCTAGAAACTGCCCCACTGTGTGTCTGCTTACCCCAGTCTAAATCAGGCTGTGGAGAGTATCTGAGGCCTCCTGGGCAGACCCAGGAAAGCTGTATGGGGCGGCTCTGTCCCCCTCACTGCAGCCCTGCCCTCTTGCCAGCTGCACAGACCTGGACGGCCGCTGCCCAAGGCTCCTGATGCCAGGCCAGATGAAGGCAGGCACCTACAAGCTATCCTTCAACACCGGGGACTACTGGAAGAAGAGGGGGCAGGAAAGCTTCTACCCGTATGTGGAGGTGAGAGCCAAGGGTGGGTGGAAGGAGGTGGAGGCCGTGACTCACTGTGACCTGCAAGCCAGGTCCTGCTGGTCAGACCTCATCCAGGCAGTGGGCGGACTGGTCTTACCCCTACCCCTGCCAGGGCGGTCGTGGCAGGTGGGTGAACTCACCAGCTTTGAGCTTCCAGAAGAAAGGTGGCCAGGTCCCCGAGGCATCATTCAGGTCAGGCTTTGGTGAAGATGAGTGACTCATCTTCCTCCAAGAGATTTTCATCTGAGCCCAGATACCAGCTCACTGGGCCTCGGCTCACTGCCTCCCCCTTCACCTGAGCCACCACCAAAGCACCTGACCTATTTCAGGTTGTTTCCACGCCTGCATGTCCAGGGATTCTGGCTTCCCTGTCCCTCCAAGCTGAGCACTTTCTCCCACGGAGGACTGAGTTGCATCCTCCGCCCTCAGGAAGTTTCCAGTTCTTGCCATTGGACTCCAGCTGACCCAGGTTGGGCTGCTGATTCTCCCGTAGAGCTTCAGTGCTGTAGCCCCTCACTCTACTGCCTTCTCTGCTTCCCTCAGGTTGTTTTCACCATCACAAATGAGACCCAGAAGTTCCACGTGCCTTTGCTGCTGAGCCCGTGGTCCTACACCACGTACCGGGGGAGCTAGAACAGAGCCTGGTGTGAGGGAGGCCATCGGTCCCTTCCTCGTTCAGCTGTCATCCACCCAGGACAGGGCACTGGAGTCACCCGCTTCCTGGGGGAGGTTCTGGTTCCCCTGGGGTTCCTCCGTGGTGACAGTGACTCAGGCATCAATAAAGTCAGCGCTGTCATCGGCAGAGCTGCTCCACTCACTGGGACAAGGGTGATACTAGTCAGGCAGAGCTCTACTAGTGCAGGCCTGGCCCTGAGTTTAGCGAGGGGCCCTCAGAGAGGCGCAGCTGACGATGGTTGGAGGCAGGGCCAGGAAGGCTGGGCGTGGGCACCAACTGCACCTGTATCCAGGGAAGGCAGCAGACCCAGGGTGCCGTGAGAAGAGGCCCTGCGGGTGGATCTCCTTCACAGACCCAGGCAAAACAAATCTGAAAACACTTATGTGATAAATCATTTTCAGAAATAACATAAGACATTCCAAAGTTACAAGAACTATTTCTTTTAGTTACACAAAACAATATTTCAAAAATTCATACATTAGACTATATTAAAAAAATACTGGTCATTAAATGATGTCACTGAGGTCAGAAGGTGATATGGTGGTTAAGGTGCTGGACTCCCACATGACTGACCATGGTTCGAGTCCTGGACCTGGTGGCTTGCTTTTCCACTTTCTCTTTCTCTCTCTCTGGTGAGCACATGTGCCCTGTAGCAAATTTAAAAAAAATAAATAAGTAAAATTAAGTAATTATTTTAAAAAATTATGTTACCAAAGGGTACCAAGAGAGTGACACAGTAAGAAAAAAATTTACTGCCTCATATAACCAAACACTGTTCATGAGAAAGACCCTGGTAGGCAAGTACACAGGAAACTTAACAGCCACTTCACACAGGAACTCTGAGTTCAGTAATCATACGACACCTACTCAACATTTAGAATGTATGTTACAAGTGGCATTTAAGAGCACTACAAAGCCAGATATCAAGCCAACCATATCAAGAATAATATTAAATGAATGAATTAAACAGCCCAATCAAAAGGCAGATGTTGGGGGTGGGGTACAGCGTCAACATGGCAGAATAGGAAGCTCCATTCACTCCACCCAAAGATATACCAAGTGAATACAGATTCATGTTTCAGTCCCCTCTGAGTGAAAGTCACAGGTGAGTTGAGAAACTCCTGTGTGCTGAGCAACTGCGGAAGGATCCACACAGAGCAGGTGGGAGAGGCTGAGGTACATTTGGACTCTGCCCAGGGCGCTGTGCCTTACAATTGGGAAGGAATCCTGAACACTCAGCATCACCCTGAGAAGAGGTGTGGGTCAACATCTATCACACCCCAACTCCCACATTCCTCATGGTTTGGATCTGAAACCACCTAACTCTCAAGCACAAGGGGCCATGTGTACATGAGCCTTATTAGACCACAGAACAGAGTAGTGGTTTATATGGTCACAGAAGTACTTCCAGAAGCTTCTCTCCCAGGATCAGGGCAAAAGAGGTGTTGGCACTCAAAGATCCCCGTTTTTCCCTGGAAGGGATTTGCTGGCAACTCTGCTAACTCCACTGTTGCGGACGGTTGAGCCTCTAACTAGCCTACATCAGAGAGTTGGTGGGGCCAACAACCAGCACATCCCTGGCAGCCTGAGTGGGTGCTCAGCACCTCCTAGGCCCTCTCCCCAGCTCACCTTCATGATAACTCCAGGTCTACCAATTCCTCCTGGACAGAGTTTGTGCATACATTGTGTGTCCCAGCTTTTCAAGCTTCCATCTGAAGAGCCATATACTAAACCTCTAAGCTCTGGGAGTAGAGGAAACTGAGCACCTTCCTAACTAGAAGGCTGGGGCAGGAGAACTGGGACACACAACATGTCAAGACTGTCAAAAACCTATCTTAGAGCTGGCAGGTGGCATTGTTGTTGGGGTGCTGGACACCCACATGGCCGACTGCAGATCAAGTCCTGGACATGGCGGCTTGCTTTCTCACTTTCCCTTTCTCTCTCTAAAGAGCAACATGATTAAAAGAAAATACCTATCTCCTTGTCTCTCCTACTCTCTTTGTCCTTCCCATGTTCACGTTCTCTATCTCTCAGATTTTTAAAAAGGTGTAGGGCCAGCAGGTGGTGTGATGAATGCACTGAACTCCCACATGGCTGACCATGGTTTGAGTCCCAAACAAGGTGGCTTGAAAATCACGTTGGGTGTGTGTGCACGCATGCCCAAAATCCTGAGAGGAGAATGGAGAAAGGATTGCAGCATGGTCATTCCCTCTGGGGGTGATTTCTCATTTTTCTTCTCTCTGTGTCTCTCTCTAGTGAGTGCATGCACCTATGGCAAAATAAAAAAGTAGTATATATATGTGAGAAAAGCTATTGGCCTTATAAAAGAAGATAATTCTGTCACTCATGAAAACCTGGATGAACCCAGAGAATATTAAGTGAAATAATCCAGGCATAGACACCACATGGCCTCACCTATATGTGGACTTTAAAAAGTTGAACTCAGTCCAGTTCTGAGGTGCAGAGGGAACACACTACTGAAGAGAAGCGGCCGCAGCACAAACCCCTGATCCAATCAGCCTGAAACATGCCAGGCACTCGCGGGCTGGAGAATTGGAGGAAGGGGACTGTACCATGACTGGAATCTGTGGAGGGTGTCTGTCTGTCTCTCTTACTGTCATGTGCACACACATATGGTCTAGCATGGAAAAAAAGTCCAACTCAGAGGTAGAGGGTAAAGTGGTGATTACTAGAGACTGCAGGGAGGGAGTGGGGGTGAGCAGGCAAAGAGGACATGTTGGTAAAAGGTTTCAAAGTTTCAGTTAGGCAGCAGGCATAAGTTCTGGTGATCTGCATGGCATGGTGACCAATTAATAGAAATGTATTTTATTTTCAAAGTTGCTAAAAGGCAAGATTTTAAATATTCCCAACAGCAAATGTTTGAGGTTACGAATATGTTAAAACTAGCTTGATCATTCCACAATGTATACATATCCCAAAACATCACATTGCATCTCCCCTCCCGCACATTTGTAGCCTGGTCTCCTAGAAGCAGCTGATGCCATCTGGGTGAAGTATTCCATTTCAAGTGGGTACCTGTGGAGATCTGGGTTGAATCACAATTCAAGAAGACTTTGTGAGCATGGAAAGGAAATTGGCAGAGTTTAATGAAACTAAGAATCAATGTGAGGGTCACTATGAAAAAGATTGACTATATAATACATTAAAGGGTGTGTAACGCTACTATAATTTATCATATATATACACATATATTCCTATAGGGCATATGCACTCGCTGGAAAGAGAGAGAGAGATAAGTGAGAAAAAGCACCCACTGGGAGGATGGTCAATCCCTTCTCTTCCATTTTCCTCTTGGGATTATTGGCATGCATGCACGCACTCCTGGCATGTTTTTCAAGCCACCCATGTCTGGGACTTGAATCACACAGTCGGCCATGTGGGATCCAGTTGCCTGGCTAGCTCAATTTTATCTCTTTTTTCTTTTTTAATTGTCAAAGGACCCATGCTGAAGAGAAGCACAAAGAGAGATCCCCCTGAGTGGAATATGGTCACACCACAATCCCTTCTCCTCTATTTTTCCATGCTGTTGGATTTGGGACATGCATATAAGTGCCTAGTATGTTTTTTAAGCTTCCAAGGCCAAGATTTTAACTGCAGTTGGCCATATAGGATCTGGCACTCTTAATCACTAGGCTATGGGACCAGTTATTTATTTATTTGTTTATTTATTTATTTATTTACTTATAGTCATTCACTGTACATCAATACAGTATACAAAATGAGATTTTCCATCCAGTATACATCATATATTGGCTCAATCAAGTATATTACCATACATGTTATCAACAAATCATTTTCTATTTCTTGTTTCTTATATTTTGCTTTTTTTCTCTCCTCGATTCCCTACCTCTCACCCTCTGCCGATTTACTCCCTTCTCCCACACTGTCTCTGGCATGTACAGTTGTTTTTCATACCTTTTACCCCTACATTTTATTGTTTAACTGAAGATCTTAATTAAAGACTTTCAATAGCAAGCGCAGCTGATATATACATATTTATGAATGTGTGTCTGACTCTAGGTGTAAACCTCAGTGAGTAAAGTGAACATACTATAAAGTAGCACCTTGCTGAGGCCATATAGCTTCCTGCAGTCATTAAACAGATATGAATAGGTATTATAGGTATTTTGTAAATGCATTTTTTAATTTCCAAAAAGGTTTTAGTTTTAATAGATCAAAATAAAAAAAATGTTAAGAAAAATTTACTTAAAACCCAAAGCTAGGAAAAGTTTAGGATTCAAATAGTAGGTAAATAAACCTATCAACAGTTTAGAAGAAGATAAAAATCTTTAGATATGGAAATCAAAGCATTGAAAATCAGTAATGTTTTAGTCTAACATTAAAAAAATATATTTCACTAGTTCAGTCTCACATAATTAATTTCTCTTCTATTGAATTTGCAGTGTTACTGTAGTCTGATCTTTCCATTTAAACTCTGGAAGTTAACATTTAACTCCAGACATGTCCCTACCACTAGGCTGGCCATTCTCTTGGTTGTTTCTTGTACTTTTATTTCTGTGTGTCTGACTTTTGTTTTCCTGCTATAGCACTCCCTTCAGTACTTCTTGGAGAGGTTCTGTTGGTATATTTTTTTGTTGTGTGTGTGTGTGTGTGTGTGTGTGTGTTTTATCTGAGAATGTTTTTGTCTTTTCTTTCCCATATGAAAGATAATCTTTCTGGGTATAGCATTCGTGGTTGAAATTGTTTTTCACCTAACACTTTGAATTTATCTTCCCATTCTTTTCTTGTTTTCATTATTTCTGATGAGAGGTCCGACATTAGCCTTATGGGATATCCTTTGAAAGTAACTTGATGTTTCTCTCTTGGCAATTTTAGTATCTTGTTGCTCTGGTTTTGGTCAATCTGGCCTCAGGGAAGATCTTCTTGGGTTGACTCTATGTGGGGTCCTCTGTATTTCTTGGGTCTTTATCTTCCCATTCTTTTCTTGTTTTCATTATTTCTGATGAGAGGTCCGACATTAGCCTTATGGGATATCCTTTGAAAGTAACTTGATGTTTCTCTCTTGGCAATTTTAGTATCTTGTTGCTCTGGTTTTGGTCAATCTGGCCTCAGGGAAGATCTTCTTGGGTTGACTCTATGTGGGG